CTCCCCCTACCCCAGTATAATGAGATGTTTGTATATGCTCTGTAAAAGGTGGGTCCCTTCCTTTTGTTTTCATTTTTACTTTTCTTCTAAGGGGAATGAGAGGTGACTTTGGTAATCTTTCCTTTGTCCTCTGACATTGCCCATTCAGCAGTTCTGATCTCTGGTTCCACAATCACCCAGCTGGTTCACTCTAGGGAATATACTCATTTTTCAGGATGGAATTCTTCTCTCTTATAAGGTTTATTAGTTTGTGTGTAAGTAGACACAAGTAGTTCTGAAGTGACTGAAAATGAGTCTCTGCCCTCAAAGAGCTGACAGGTGAATGGAGAAGACAGGCAAGTCAACAGACAATGACACAATGACAGTAGAACCAGCGATTGATTGCTGAGGCATAGGTAAGAGAGGACACTTACGCTAACCTTGGCACTCAGCCATGGAATTTTAGGTGAAAGAGACATTTGTATTGCCATCTCAGGGTGAGGAGGAACCATGGATTCAGCAGAGTGGGTGTGAAGGATAGTGGAGGTGCTCATATGGCGTCATTGAATGGGCTGGGACTAGGGTTGGACTGAAATTGTCTTGGAGCTGTCTCTGCTGGCACTCCTGAGAGATGGCTGGGTCTGGAGGCATTTCAGAGAGACAGAACATAATTAAGGATGAGTGCAAAGAATTGTCCTTTGGTGGAGTATTAAAAAACATTTTATTACTTTTCAGATATTATTCTGAAATAGTCCCAGTGTGATACTTCTGGTGGTTAATGGGTAGGTGTTTTGTACCTTTATGTACAGAGAGATGCAAATAAGGAAAAGTCACTCCCCCCTCATTACATGACATGTTGTTAAATCTGTTTTCTTGGTAAGATGTCTACCCTTGAGACTTAAGGAACTGGAAGAATAGCCGGTGGCATCTTTAACCCAGCTCGGTCTTCTCACCCCCATAAATTGCCCCAGCAGCTCCCACTGATACTAAATGGTATGCTTCTAATGTGCACAGGGATTGGGCCAGTTGTCTTGTTGGAAGGAGGGACTTGAAGCAGGGATGAGGACCCTGTCTAACCAGGAGGATATGCGTGCGTTTTATGTTGAAGAAGGTTGATGCATCTCCCAAACTGGTTGCTCCTTTGCCCTTAGTTGCCTGTTGTGCTCTTCTAGCCTGGTACTCCATAATGGAGTCTCCTGGATAATCCAGTAAGGCTCAGTGGTCAGTGCTTTCAAGTTTGTCTTGGGATGTATGAGAGACTCACCTGAAACCTGTAAATGTGACTTCAGAAGAGTGCTCTCTCTCTTCTCCTGCCTTTCCTCTCTGCATCCCCCAAATCTTTTATGTACAACCCAAGGTTGTTCTGTTAGATTCTCAGATTTTCTAGTCCTGAGATGGTTAGCCAACCAACGTAATTAAGTTCTAACCTAATTAAACCATCCTGGTCTTACTCAAGGCTAATATCTCGTTATACCCTGACATATTTCTTTTAGCGCCTTCATCTATCCCCATCTTGGAATCGGCATTCTCTTACTGCCAAAAGACACCTCAGAGGTCACCTTGTTCATTTTACCTGTGATAGGGTGTGAGATGACTTCTTAAGATACAGAGCTCATTGTTGTGACAGCTATGCCTCAATTAAGAATTAAGCCCATGGCCTGTCCTTGCTAATGTGGACAGCGGGTTGCACTCTTTCCTGCTGTCCTTTCTTGTGTCCTCCTAGGGAGTGTACTTTTTTACTCAGTCATCTCAGGTCTCTCCCACAATTATTCATGACTTTTGGGGAGTTAAAGGGTATTTGCTGACCGTGGGAGGAATGATTTTAAAATCTAAAGTTCACTAGTATCAGAGATGGAGCTCAAATTCTTTCAACTTGCCTTTGATAAAGTCTTACTGAAATGACCTCTTGACTTGGAAGCCTATAGATGGCACATTTAATAGACATTTGGAGTTCTTACTGATGTTACCAGCAGTGGCACATGGGAAAGGTGGTTATGGCAGAATATTGTACCCTTTTACACACATACACACACACACACACATACTCACACACTCACACATGCTCTCTGGTTTCTGATTAAATGTGGCTGCAATGGATGGTGTAGCAAAGCCTTCCATTCTTTTACCTACGTATTGACCCAGCAGATAAGGACCCTCTGGTCTTTTACGAGAGCCTTTGACTCTTGTAAAAGAATTAGAATGTAGGGTTCAAAGAGGCCAGATTAGTTTTTGTCTTAGATTCACTGTGCTCATGTCAGGTTTTGGACTTCTTCATTAGCATTGAGGTAAGATGCTTTCACCTGTGATTTCCTTAGTGCTCCTACATAGCTCCACACTGCCTCTTATTCCTCTGAGCTCACCACGGCATTTCTTCAGCATGTTTCTTCACATGCAGCCTCCATTACCTTCTTTGGGGTGCATTTTAAGGACATTCCATCTTTCTACCATGCTGAACCGAGTGTGAGGCTAGGCTTCTTCTCTGGGCTGGTCTCTGTGTTGTGTACTGAGTCCTTCAGGTGTACCAGGGGGAGACGGGGTGCTTTGTGACTCCTGCCCACACATCAGTGGCATTCCAGAGGGTACTCTCTTGGCTTCCACTGAGTTACTGACTCACTGAACACTCACAGCATCTCTGTTTCCCAGACTGTGCTTGGAGTTTGTATTTTAGGAAAGTGGTTATTAAGATGGAGAAAGGGTTAGAAAGACACTGGAGAAAAATACAGTTTGGCCACGTGATTTTTCACTGATTAGTTTTCTGTCTTGTGGTCTTGGGGATCAAACTTAAAGCCTTACACATGCCTCGTAAGTGATTTGTCACTGAGCTGGACCCACATCCCCTGCCTACCAGATTCCTCTGGAGAGGTCTGAAAGAGGAGGTATGTAGGGCTCTAGAGGCAGAAGGAAAGCAGCATCACCGGTGAATGTCAACACTTCTTTTCCAGAATCACACCTGCTCTTCAGGTCACTGGACAACTCTTATGAAGGTTTGTAGGGTCTCTGAAAGAGGCTAGAACTGTGTAGTTGGAAAAGAGTGGCCACTTTCTGGTGTAAAGGGGGACTTCTCTGCATGCTGGTGGGCATCCAATTTAGACGTATGCTTTCCGGAGCATGCTTTCTAACTTTTCTCCCCAGCCTACTGCTAATCTTCCTCCACAAACCTCCTACCGTTGCCCCATACCCTTTCTTGAATCCAACCTAGATCCCTGGTTTGCCTCCTCCTGAAGTTGGTGAAATTCTTACTGCCATGCCTTCTATGGTATGTCCTTCAGAGTGCTCATATTGTATCCCTCGCTAGTCTCAGAGTCTGGAGCACAATTCATGGGCCTGAGAGTTCAAGTGAACCACTGTGTTCTGTTGTATTATTTAAAAGTGGCAACTATACCCATATGATAATGGCTACTATGGTGCATAGTGGTGCCTATTGTGCCATATTGCATTCTTGTGAGGGGTTTTGTGGGGAGTTTTAGTTATTTTCTACTGCAGATGAACACTGACAATGTATCAGATGTCAAAGCTAAGGCCAGGAAGTCTCAGAGGTGAAATGACAAATATTTTCTCTCTCTGATGGCATCCAGCCTAAATTATTGAGATAGGATGCCTGGTAGAGATGGAGAACAGTCTCTCTTTTCAATCTTCCCTCTTCCATCTGCTCAGCAATGGCAAGAATGAGGGGAAAATATGGATATGGCCTCCCCCCCTGGAACTCATTTATTTAGTAGAAAGGATTCTAGAATAAGGTGGATTTTTTCCTCTTCATTTTTCCTAACAGATTTTCTCCCCCTGTTATGTTGTAAGATTGATTTCTATCTTCAAAATGTGTTCATGGGGATTAGGGCTTTTCAGTGAAAGCATTACAAATCACCCGCAAACCCCAGGCATCTTTGGGAGGAGTGAGGCTGTTTCTCTAAAACTCATTTTTCATGGAGAGCAGTAGCACCTGCCATCTTCCTGCATTTCCAGTTTCAGAATGCCCTTGTCTGGTTGGAGCTCCAGTGTGTGAATTCCAGAGGAGCCTATGCCAGCTTTTTAAATGCACATGGTTTGAGGAGAAGGTGCAGTGACAGCTGATGGAAGCTTGGATGTCTGAGGAAGCCTGTCTGAATGGAAGCCTGGGTTCCAAGGAAATCTCCAGCCTGCAGTTGCAGGGTTCTGGCTTGTCATCAGCCAGACCATGTTACCAACTCACTGGCTCATCCCAGAATCCTGTGGAAGAGAGAGAGAAGGAAACCAAGGGCTCAAATAGTTCTGTTAACCTTGACTCAAAGCAAGTTACCAGTAGATCAGGCAGTAGAACTCCATTCTTCTTCATTTTACCAAGGATCCAACGCCTGGATCACACTCTTTAGAACTCTCCAGAAAGCTTCTTGTGTTGTTTAGCAGCGAGGAACTGGAATGGAAAATTACTGTCAAGATATTTGGCTTTTGTTTTTTTGGTTTTTCGAGACAGGGTTTCTCTGTATTGTTTTGGAGGCTGTCAGTCCAGCCTGGCCTCAAACTCACAGAGATCTGCTTGCCTCTGCCTCCTGAGTGCTGGGATTAAAGGCGTGTGCCACCACTGCCCGGCAAGATATTTGGCTTTTTAATTAGCCATTTATGTACCTCTATATTAAGTTCCTGCCACAATATTTGACTTCCTGTAGGTAGTCAGCAAGTGTCTGTAAAAGTGACAGGTAAGCTTTCTCCTAAGCTCTGAGAAAATAGAGCTCTTCTAGGAATCAAAGAAGTGAGATTAGAGGGGAACTGCAACGGTGTGTCCCCAAGGCTCTGAGTGGGACAACAGCAACAACAAAATATGATGCAAAATAAGCCCTAGGATTCCTGTATCTCACATGCAGACATGCAGACCTCCTGTGCTTTGGCTTTGGCCATTCTCTCTCTCTCTCTCTCTCTCTCTCTCTCTCTCTCTCTCTCTCTCTCTCTCTCTCTCTCTCCCCCTCTCTCCCCCCCCTCTCTCTCTCACACACACACACACTTTTAATTATCTGTTTAGGTACTGGAAACCACTCTAAGGAAAGAACAACTGTATTCCATTAGACATTTATTTCCCACAGCTCCCACTGTGGCTTTGGAATACATGGCCCAGGCACAAGGCTTAAAGTGTTTGGAGGAGTGGTTGTTGGGAATTTAATTTTTTGCCTCCATGTCTGATGCCTCTCAATTCCTTGACCTTTTCACTGGGCTCATTATTATTTTCTGGCTTGGGATAGATGAATCCTAATCAACTATGTAGCTCAGACAATATTCATTGCTTGGTGTGTCTTATTTCTGGCTTGCTTCTTCATACATAGTCCGTGGAGTTCTTTCTCTGAGGATCTGAATCTTCTCTCTGCACCTCTGGGCCCATCGTCCTCTGAGCCTGTCACCTCTAAGATGTATCACTTTTAGTCTTGCTTGGTTTTCTTGTCTTTCACCTGGCAACTCTTACTCACCATGGTCCAATAGGGGGGAAGACATTTGCAACCTGCAAACACAAAGCCTTATTAAAATACTGAGGTGGTTTGGAACACAAAACATGTTGGATTAAGCCCAATCGATGTGCTGGTGAGGGAACAGGCCCTGGAGAGATTTTGTGAACTCCATCTTTTCAGAGAGTTGGTGACTGAGCTGAGCATAGAACCATGGTCTCCTAACTCCTTTTTTTGCTTAAAGTTGTTTTTAATTCGCAAATAAAAATGTGTGTGTTCATCAGGTGTAACATGAAGTCTCAGGACTAATTAAAGCATTCTTATCACATGTGTGTCTTCCTCTTCTCACTGGAACCTCATACTTGACAGAAGCAACTTACTAAAGTAAAGGGTTGTTTTAGTTTAGGGGTTTATAACTGGGAAGGCATGGCAGCCATCATACATTGGAAGTTTGAGCTGCCATATTCTATCTCATTGGCTGACGAGAGAGAGAGAGAGAGAGAGAGAGAGAGAGAGAGAGAGAGAGAGAGAGAGAGAGAGAGAGAGAGAGAGAGAGAAGCAGAGAGATGGCCATGCTATATCCCCTAAGACTTGCTCTTTTTTTTTGATTTACATTATTTTTATTTATTTTAATTTTAAATAGCTTGTTTTACATGTCAATCCCAGTTCCCTCTCCCTCCCCTCCTCCCGCACTCCCCTTCCACCCTCCCTCCCACCCTATTGCCAAATCCTTCCACATAGGGGATGTCTAGAGTCTATCATTTTACTCTTGGTAGGGTCAAGGCACTCCCCTAAGAGTCCAGGCTGAGAGAGCATCTCTCTTTGTGCTATAGGCACATGAAGACAGATTGTTGCTCCTTACCCCTCACCCTTCCAGCATATCTGCTTCCCCTCTGCTAGGCCTCATCTTTAGTCACATCTCCAAGGCAAGGAAAAAGAGAGAGAGAAATCAAGCCTCACCTCTTAAGGATTCAACAACTTCCCAAAATAGCTTTCTAAGCAGAGGACCAAGTATTCAAACACACAAGCCTACGGAGGACAGTTTACACTCCAACTGCAAGGACATACTTACTGTTTAGAGATAGGAACCTTTGCATTTATACTTCCAGTGGTTTTTCAGAGTCTATTGTTTTGTTCCTGGCTTTAATCACTAAGCTTATCTCTTAAATGCTTTCTTCTCATCCAGCTGAAATGAGGTATTCTTTGACTTGTATCTCTTAATTCTTTCCTCCCTTGCTGTGGCTTTATACATCCCCTCCATACTTTAAAAACATCTAATTTCCCTGACTAAGTAGCAAGACTGGTAGAAAGGTCTTGTCAGTGCAATGGGAACACTCCTTTCTTGGTTCCTTGCCCTCCTTCATCCTAAGGTGAAGGGGAGAAATCTTAGAAGCAAGTGCTCTCACTGCCTAATAATTCTGCTGCCTCAAAAGTCAAGGGCATGGGCCATTAACAAGGGCATTACAGCTCTTTTCTACAAAGAACTATGGTGCGGTCCCTATGGTAACATGACCAGAGTGGAAATGGCAGTTTCACTGCATCAGAGAGCTGATTGTTAGCTGTGGAAGACTACAGACCACAGACATAAGGAGCTCCTTGGGACCCATGATCTCAGGCTGGCGATGCTGGCTGCCAGCCAACCTTTGGAAATAAATGAGCCTGAGCAAACTTGATTTGTTAAGCTGTATAGACAAGAGTCAGAATTAGAGAAATTCAGATTTCATATTTTCCTGCATCTTATTGAGGAGCTGGTCATTTTATCTGATTCTGCTAAATGATTGAGCTCTGTATTGTTATTTTTAAAATGGATTCTCTCACTTTCCCCTCCTTCCACTCCCCCCAGTGTCCCCCTCCTGGATCCACTCCCTCTCCATCTCCCTTCAGAAAAGACCAAGCCTCTAAGAGACAACAACCACCAAACATGACAAAACAAAACAGTAAGAAAAGCCAAAACCATTCATACTAAAGCTGGTCAAGGCAATCCAACAGGATGAAAAGAGTCCCAAGAGCAGGCAAAAGAGTCAAAGACGCACCCATTCCCACAGTTGCAATTGCCCCAAAATACCAGGATAACAGTCACAGCACACATGCAGAGGACCTGGTGCAGATAGACCTCTGCAGGCCCTGTGCTTGTTGCTTCAGCTTTAGTCTCTGTGAGCTCATATGCACCCTGCTTAGCTGATTTAGTGGCCCATGTTCTCTTGGTGTCCTCCATCCCTTCTGACTCCTACAGTTTTTTCTGCCCCTTCTTCCCCAGGATTCCCTCAGCTCCAAGTGACCTGACAGAGACCTCTAATTTAGACTCTCTCTATGCAGAATGTCTGACTGTGGGTCTTAACATCCATTCCCATTTACTGTTGGGGGAAGCCTCCCTGCTGACAACTGGACAAGACACTGATCTATGAGTATAGCAAAATATCATTATTTTTGGTAGTCATGTTTGGTTCTACTCTAGGTCTCAGGGCTATTCAATCTCTTGTTTTTGGCCATTCAAACAGGGTTAGGCAAGGAATCCCTCTTGTGGAGTGGGGCTCAAGTTAAATCAGACACTGGTTGTTCAGTTCCACAAGTTCTGCACCACCATTGCCCCAGCACATCTTACAGGTTGTGGGTCAAAGATTTTGTGACTGGGTTTTGTGACTCAGTCTCCCTCCTCATCTCCAGAAAGCTGGGATTGTATACATGCACTGCCACACCTGGCTTGATTATTGCTTTTGATCATAGGTCAATAGCATCATTTCCCCCCTGCAAAAGAGGTCTCTGTATTCATGTTCAGATGAGCACAACTTGCTATAAATTATTCTAGAGAAACACACAGCAAAGAAAGGCAAACACCCCCTCAGTGTTCTAGGATCATAAAACAGGCTTTCAAATCCTCCCATCCAAATAATACCTTCTTATCTTAATCCATTCTTACCTTCAGATACATTTGCGTTAACTTGAAAGTAAAAGGATTGGGGGGCTGGGAGCAGGCCTTATTTATTAATACAAGTGTACAAATGGCATCCTGCCAATCACTTTTTGCAGGCAGCTCAAATATCACTTTGAGCAGTAAACTATTCCTAACACAATTAAAGTCTTTTACTCAGTGCAGTTCTTTCTTGATTTTAAAAGCATGAGTGCTGGAGTAATCTCTTCAAGGTGGAAATAAGCAGCTCAGTACTGGTGGATCATGTCTATATGGTGTTTGACTTTTCACCACCGGAAGCTATTGCGGGGGGAGCCATGCAATGAGACTGCAGCAGGCCTCTGTGAAGACCTGACTCCTGCTGGCTTGAAATGCTCAGCAAACATTAATGGGACAGGTGGAGATTGAATTACAGCGTTGCTTATTGGGCTGCATCCCTTGTCACTAATTAGAGCATGACAGTACTTTGAATAAGGAGTGCCAGGCATACACATTGTCTTCTTAATGTGAACTGAAGGTTGCAGAGGCTAGCTTAAGGATCTAGCCTAGTGTAAACTTTTTTTGCTGGACTGTTTATGTCCTTACACACTCATTTTGAAGGGTGCTGGTCATCATATGGTAGTGTGGGTGGCTGTTGTTTACCCAGAGGTCAAAGCAGGAGCAGGGTAGCTGGGTGGGGGTCGGAGGAGCAGAAGGACTAAGGGAAGGTTGCAGTGTTGCAGTGTTGCAGTGTGTGTGTGTGTGTGTGTGTGTGTGAGTGAGTGACAGAGAGAGAGACAGACAGACAGACACACATACACACAGAGAGAGAGAGAGAGAGAGAGAGAGAGAGAGAGAGAGAGAGAGAGAGAGAGAGAGAGAGAGAGAGAGAGAGAGAGAGAGAAAGAGAGAGAGAGAGAGAGAGAGCACCAGAAGTGAACTTCTGACATCATCCTCTAACATTTCACTTAGTTTTGAGACAAGGGCTGTCACTGCATTTATCACATCCCTCTGCAGCTGGGTTGACTGAACAGGAGACCTCTGGGATCATCTGCTTCTGTCCTCAGATGCTGAGGTCACAGGTGCATGCCAACTTGAGACTGTGGGGGAGAGTGCCATCTAGCACAATTGCACTGTTTTAATTGTTTCTAAATATTTAACTCCAGAATCTGAACCCAGATCCTTATATAGTGCATCAAGTATATTACCCACCGAATCATTTCCCCCAGCTCTGTAGTTACTTTTAGCATTTGAATTGTGAACAAAATTTGATACTAGGTAGGATCTCTGATTCTTGCAAAATTGGCAAAACCTCCCCTTGCCCTCACAATGATTTCTCATTTTCTTACTGTAGTGGCAATGTAACACTAATGTCTATCTATTAACCTACATTGTTTTGTGCTTTACATATAATATCCCTAATACCCCCACTTGAAATGTTTTCTTTGTCTCTGTAGCTGTAGGTTAATGAAATTGCTGTCTTGTTTAAACGCCTGTATTAAATGATTCAATTTCTTTGAAAGATCTTTCTCCATTTATTGAGATAACGAAATGATGTTTCTCTTTTAACATATGAATGTGATGCATTACATTATTTGGTGTTAAATCAAACTGTGTTCCTGGAATGGACTCAGACTGGCCATGATGTCATTTGCATACATGGCTAGATTCAATTTACAGCACCTTTTAGACGTCTAGGAAAGGGACTGACAGTCTTTTACTTTCTTTTCCATTTTCGTTTTTGAGATAGGTTTCTCTGTGTTGTTCTGGCTGTCCTAGAACTTGTTCTGTTGACCAGGCTGACCTCGACTCAGAGGTCCACCTGCCTCCCAAGTTCTGGAATTAAAGGAGAGCACCATCAGTACCCAGCACTTTTCATAACTTTTGATACCAAGACAACATTTTTTATATGGAAGCTGAGACTGTTTCTTGATTATATCTACTAGAAGACTTTAAGTTCTAATTCTACCTTTTTCATTATTTGTGGATTTTTTAAAAATTTAATTTCTTTCTTTTTTATTTTCTTTTCAGACAAGGTATCTATCTAAATCCTGGCTGTCCTGGAACTTGCGATGTAAACCAAGCTGGCCTTGAAATCACAGAAATCCTCCTGCTTCTGCCCCAGCGTCCTGAGTGCTGGGATTAAAGGTTTGTCCCACTGGCTTTTAA